CAAGGAAAGTTGTATTGTCTGCGTATCTCAGGTTATTAATGATTCTTCCTCCAATCCTGATGCCATGTTTTTCTTCATACAGTCCAGCTTCTCGGATTATTTGCTCAGCATATAGATTGAATAAGTATGGGGAAAGGATACAACCCTGACACACTCCCTTCCTGATTTTAAACCGTGGAAGCAGCAGTCAAGAAATCAGACGTTGTATTGCACTAGGGAAATCAGCTACAAAAGATCTCTTTAGAGTGCTGAAGAGCAAAGATGTCTCTTTGAAGACTAAGGTGCACCTAACCCAAGCCATGGTGTTTTCAATCGCCTCATGTGCTTGTGAAAGCTGGACAGTGAATAAGGAAGACCAAAGAAGAGTTGATGCTTTTGAGTTGTGGTATTGGCGAAGAATGCTGAAAGTACTATAGACTTCCAGAAGATGAACAAATCTGTCCTACAAGAGCAGCCGAAATGCCAGAAGAAATGTAGAAGCATATCATGTTTGGTTAAGTGGAGGGTCAGCAAAAAAAGTGGAAGACCTTCAATGAGATGGATTGACACAGTGGCTGCAACAATGGGCTCAGGTATAGCAAGGATTGTGAGGATGGCCCGGGACCAGGAAGTGTTTCGTTCTGTTGTACATGGGGTCACTATGAGTTGGAGCTGACTCAATGGCACCTAACAACAACAATAACCTGATACTCAGTCCCCCGAGGAAGGGTCTGTGTGACTGAGCCTCCCCACTTGACACTTAGTCCCTCAAGGAAGACCCCTGTCTGACTTAGTCTCCCCAAAGTGCCACTGTCCCTAGGTGGTGAGTTCTGAGAGAAATTCCTATATTATCTACAGCAGTCTGGTCTCCGTCAACCCAGGTCCCTCTCATCCCCAGGCTGAGTTGAAGCCCTGCCCAGGGCCAGGCAGGGTGGATCCCGGAACAGAGTCATGGTTCTTGACCTCCCGGGAGCACTCCGGATAGCAGATGAGTGAGTTTTCAGAGAAGTGACTATATGGAGGGAAATGCCAGATGCTGTGAGACCCAGGGCAGACTTGGTCCACCCCTTGCCTCCTTCCCCAACCCCTCCCTGACCTTCTCTAACAGTCCCCAGTGTCTTTCTTCTTCCTCAGCCCCTTCCTGACCCTCTCCAACAGTCCCTAGCATCTTCCTCCTTCCTCAACTCCTTCCTGACCCTCTCCAACTCCCCAGCATCTGCTCACCCCTTCCAAGTTTCCCATGAGTCTCTCTGCCTCGGTTAGGAACCACAGCCCACCGACTGGGGCCAGTTTCATTTCCCAGTTCTACTTGGACAGTGGACTTATTTAAAAAA